TGTCTCGCGCTGCTGCGTGTGAGGCTCACCCTCAGGCTTTGGCCCCTGATTTTAGATTGCTGTGGTAACTTCTACGCTTTCAGCGTTTTATAAATAATGTACTTCTGGGGGAGTCAGGAGTTACTTCCTTGGCTGTCTGTATACTCTTGCTTTCCTCTTTGGATTGTTTGCTGCCCCTTTCGGTATTGCGTTTTCCTGCCAGAGGCTGGATGGGCTTCTCTCTCCTTGGTGCCTGAGTGGGCTTTCCCTCAGTGGGACTCCCTGGCTGCGAACGAGGAGAAGCTTTGTTCCTGGTGGGGTGGATTTCCTCTGTCTTCCTTTATTGGCTTTTTTTCCCCTTTATAGTTCCTGCCTCCCTCTTCTCAGTTATACTTCTTTTCCTCTTCTTCTTTCCTGTCTCCATTCCTCTGCTGTAGGGCAGACCTAATAAAGGATTTGAGCACCGAAACCTTCATCCATCCTCGATAAAACACATCACCTTTCTTTGATTTACACAGCGCAGAGGGATAAACAGAACCCATGGGCTGTGGTCCAGGGGATGCTGATACCGCCTGTCCCTGCTGCAGGGTCTTCGCAGGAGAGTGACCAAAGCTCTGTGCGCAGGGTGGGCAGCCTGAGCCCGTTGGTGTGCCCAGGGTGCAAGAAGCATCCCTCCAGGGGCTTAAGCAGAGAAAGGACTTCAAGCCTCCCTTCCAGGCTGTCCCAGCTTCACGTCCATCTCCCGGTTGCCAGGTCCCCTCATTTGCTGCCATGCTTGCCATTCACCCTTTCTCTTCTGCTTCTCCCATCGTGTCAGCTGCTTCCGCCTGTCCCCTTGCTCCGTGGTATGGCCACGTCTGTGCTCGCATCCTGGAAGACCTGCCTTGCATCTTCAGCCCATAGCGCCAAACTCTTGCCTCCCTTTCTTGTAGTAACCCCCAGCCCAAGCAGAGCATTTTATAGGTTCTCCAGAAAATTCCTCTACCTCCCTTTTGGGGGAAAGAGCTGGCAACTTTCGACGGAGAAACATGGAGTTGTGTTCAGTACAGATAGTACTTAGTCCCTGTAGTCTGAAAATGTAGGAAGGTGGGAGACAACTGTGAGAAACAGAAATGCCAGAAAAATGTGGAGGATTTGGCAGCTCTGTCTTGATGTCTACTGTGTTACCGTGCAGAACAGAATTGAAGACAAACATATGAATGTGCTAACGTTGAAGTTATTGGATGCGAGTCTGCGACTGAATTACTTTGGGGAATTTTTAATTTCTGTAGTTTCGAGGTTAATTTTTTTGTTGTCATTCTGCTCTATTTAATTTCTCTTCAGATAATAGTAACGAAAAGTTACAGCGCTCCAGAACAACTCCAAAACTTTCTCTTTAAAATGCTAATTTGATATTAGTCTCCTTTGGCTAAAACCGTATCAGATATAATTGAATGCTGTCAGATTGCCATTGCTTTGTGTCACCAGCCCAGGAACCAGAATGTATTCATGAACCTTTCAGGACAATGCATCATAAAAACACTGGTAGGAAACTGGTTAATACCAGTCTTAAGGCAGTTAAACAGATTACGTTCAGAGTACATACCTCTGCAACCCCTTTATCACCTGGACTACCCAGTCCTTTTAACCATTGTTATGTTGTGAGGAGGGGAAAATGCAAGGTCCTTTGGATGCAAAAAGTAAAAGTTAGCAAAAGTTGTCAGAAGGGGGCAAAACAGAGAGATGATGTAAAAATCAGCCTCATTTTTATTTGGTATTATGTTTACCTCTGATAGGAGAGAATAATACTGCATCCCTCCTTGTCTGAAACTGCTTACAGCTGCTCTCTGCAGTTCACATCATGTGTGCAGTCAAATCTTCTCGTGTCTGTCACCGCCAATACAAAGCTGTGTACTACGGGAATACCATTTACCATCATTGCAGATAATGCTGAACTCATTACAAAGCTGTTAAAAGTGACCTAAAATTTATCTGTTCTAATTAGCAGAATGTAACTAGTGACCTCATTAGACTGAACTCGCAAAAAGTAGTTTGAGGAATAAGAAGCAAAATGAAATATTACTCGGTGTAAATGTATAGAGTATCTTGCCCAGGAAGAAGGGAGCCAAACCATTCAGACTGGTCTTTTTTTCTTGAACTGGAACTGAAGTCAAACCATTACTTGGAAATCTTGGCTGTATTTGATCCTGAACTGAACCGTTTCCCGCCTGCCTGCCTTCCCACAAAGTATCTCTAGCTACTGCTCTTCGATCCTGACCTGCTCCGGCGCCAGCCCGCGTCGCCCGCGTCCTGCTGGCAGCGGCTGGGCAGCACCCTGCTGCAGTCTCTGCCCCCGCACCGAGACCTCATCCTGCGCTGCTCTCGGTCGCTTTGAAGCTCCATGTACGGACCAGCGCAAGACAGACCTCTCCCGCCCGCGGCGTGAGGGGCTCCCACTGCAGTGCCATTGGGGGGGGGGGGGGCGCGGGGGGGGCCCCCAGGGCGGGGCGAGTGGGGGGGGGGGGGGCTGCACCCCCCCGTGGCGTGGGGCTGCAGGGTCCCTCTCCTGTGGGGCCCCTGCACGCGACCTGGCTCCAGCGGCTGTACCAGCGCTGCAAGCCCAGGCTTTGGTGGGCTTGAAGGGGCAGAAGCGTGCGGAGTGGACGTCTCTCCCCATGCCCTGGGGCAGCCAGGAGAGCGCAGCTGAGTGCAGTACAGCCCGTCACGCTCTCTCAGCCTTGCCTTGCCCGTGCCCAGGTTGGCGGCGGGCTGCTCTGCCCACCGCTGCCGAAGAGGCTGCAGGGGGAAGGAGATGGCAGCGCAGTGCGACCTCGCACTGAGAGTCTGCTCCCGGCCCGTAACCTGTAAATTCTGTCTTAACAGTTAGGCGGTTTGGTATGAGCAAGTTTGAGGTGGTTCATCACTACCCAGACGGGTTAAGAAATATTTACTGACCTCCAGCCAAGCTAAACTGCTATGAAATGTGGTAATTCTGCTCCTTCCCTGACCGTGAAATTCAAGACCATAGAAGTGAAAATGAATGCTTTTTCTTTCTTATGAGATGAATAAGGGCCAAGGCTTTGTGCTTTTCAGAACGCAGTTATGATAAACATTGCCATGGCAATTAGACAGTCTCAGTGCGCAAGGTGAGAGGGCGCTGGCTCCGTGGTCATCCTGGTCTTCCTGGGCCTTGTTGCCCCAGGATGCTTATTCCGCATCCTAGCTTCCAGCCTGGTTGCTAAAGCTCACCCAGGGGACTGCAGGCACCAGGTCCCCTCTTCTCGGGGCAGAGCACCGGTTGGATTTTCATGCAGTTACCTGATGTTTACAACACAGAGCTATAAACATGTCAACAGAAACAGAGGCAGTTTCTAAGTGGGCAGAAAACAGCGTGCTCCTGACGCATACTGATATGCCTCTGTCTCTTTGGACTTGACTTTTACTTAGCTTTCAAACATGTAAAACTGATTTATCTCCAGTGAGTGCTGCATATGCTTTCTTGGTACTTCCAGTCATGTGCTGCTACAGCTTTTCTTAGTTTTCATGGACCTCAGAGGAGGACCCTTGCCCATCGAAGAGCTCGTGATGCATGTACCGTTGCCTTGAGCAGGCACAGACACACGCTGTGCTGTGCGGTACTGTGCTTGCAGACGTTGCTTGGCCTTCAGGACCATGCTGTGCTGCCCATATCCCTTGCCAAGGGGTACCCTCAGCTGGCTAATCGTAATGGAAGAGGCTGGAGGTGGGACCTACTTGGCACTAGTAGTAACACCATGACCATGTCCTTGCCTTTATCTTGAGATGAAGCAACATACTTTCATATAAACATCCAATTGAAAATCCTGTAAAAGCTCTATGAAGACCGCAGTGTGGGTGAACCTCACCCCCGACGGGAAGTCTGGGCAGCGTGCGGTGCCCTGATCGCAGGTCTGTTTGGTGCTGCATAATCTCGGGGTTCCAGCGTCAGAAGGAATATAAGATCTTGTAGCTTGCTGCCGCCTTTTCTGGGATATTGATGAAGTAGTTACCTTTCTTGAGAGTGTTTGTGTTTCTTTCTTGGGATCCAAAAAGAACCAGCACCTCTTGGTGCAAAGCAATGTTATTTGTGAATATAATTATAGGTTTTGGAGAGAAAAATCTGTTCCTAAGTATACCCCATCCAGTTAGGCCACCGTTAATGCTGTACATCATTAAGTCTTAGTGTAATATTGTGCTGTGTGGGAAGGAATCCCAGGCTGATCTATTTTTGGTCTTTAATGTTGATTTACAATGAGTTATAGTAGCAGAGTTCAAATGTTTGCTGATTATTGCTGAGCTGGACTACTATCAAGCAGTTTTAAAAATAAAACTTGCCATTCTAAGAGCATCACTGAAGTTCCTTAACAGAGGCCTGCTTGACTTTTCAGCAAATTCACTGGATTTCCTGAACTGGCACTCACAGGCAGGGCTTGTGCAGCAGGGTGATGCCACCCAGCATGGTCACTGCTCAGTGGGGCTAATGACCTCTCCTTGCTGGTTCTCCACTTTTCCTGAGGCTCTTTGTGTTGTGTTGCAATGCTCAAGATCTTTCAGTGTCTTCTTGGAGGAAACGATGGGAAACTAAATTGCCCGGTAGCAAGGAGCCTGCAGGAAGCAAAAATTGATACGACAAAGATAAATGAGCCACAAAATGTGATCAGCTCGTTCAAGTATTCAACCGTGTTGGGCTTGCAGAAGTATGTCTGGGCTCTGCAACATCTATTCTGTTCCTCACAGGAGTTCAGTCTTCAGAAACTGGGGAAGGGTGGGAGCCAAATTTGGCTGTCCTTTTTCAGAACTCCCCCAGAGTCAGTTTTGCCTGCACCTGGACCTGGCCCCATGTGTGGGCATGTAGGTTCATACACTAACGATAATCTCGGGTGGGCTGCAAGAGTGTCTTCAAAAGAGTTTCCTTTCAAGGAAATGCACAAGCGTGATGTGAGTCACAGATGTGACTCTGCTGTGTATCTAATACTAATTAAATACTTGACAGGTGTTGTGTTTGTTTTGTTTTGCAGGAAGAAATCATTCCTATTTTCAGCTCTGTATGCTGCCTTTATATTTGGTGGTCGGCACCTAATGAACAAGCGAGCAAAATTTGAACTGAGGAAACCACTAGTGCTCTGGTCCCTGAGCCTTGCCGTCTTCAGGTAGGCATTTCTTCACACCAACGCCTTTGACAGTAGTCCCTGAAGAGGGTTTGGGGTTCTTCACGTACAACAGCACTGCTAATGCGCCAACCAGCTCACCCGGAAATGGCATTTCTTTAGTTCTGCTTATTCAGGGTTATGTCCTGATCCACTCCTCACCATTGAAATGATCCCCTTTGACTTGCCAGATCATACGGCGTTTGAAGAGGAGAGAAATCAATAACCCTCTTGAAGAACAAAGGTGAAAATAAAGTGAGGACATGAGAAAAAGTGCTTATCATTGCAATAAATTTACCATGCAAGCTACAAATGGGAATCAACACATTCAGATGTTAGTCTTGTTCTCACTTTATAGTTAGTATTACGTTTATAGGGGTCCATATACGGAATATTTAGTCAAGACTCCGATCTCCATTACGATGAGATAAACCTAAAGTCACTGCTTTGATGACAGGCAAATTAGGCCATATAATTGAAATCAGAATCTGGCTTCTGGTTATTCCATCGCAGAGAGTTTGTGAAGGTAACAAAAGGGTGGGTGCACAGGGAAAGGCTATTTTCTAGTGATGCAAATCTCTCTAGCTGGGTGTTGACTCTGTATCATGGCGTATGGGGAAAGTCAGATTCAGATTCTTGATAGTTGCTGAAGTGAGGAGTAAAACTGACCAACCTGTGTTCTACTTTATCTGCTTAATATGCTAATTTTAATGAGGCTGAAGATAAATAAACGAATTAACAAATGCTTATAAAAATAGCCCTTACAAACACACAAACTTTTGGTACGATTTACTAATAACTGTACACAAAAGACTTGAGGATTATCCTTCATTTCAGTGCCTATTGGGAGTGTAAGTTATAGTTCACTCAACAGCATAGAAACCATTTGCAAACTGTTAATCAAACACTGATACTGGTATCTTATTCTAATATCATTATAATAATTACTGATTATAGTAGTTCACAAGTACATAAAACAAGTTTTCTTACTGACCAGCTATGAATGGTGGGAATAGTCTGAGCTGAGAGTTTCTACAGAGTAAAATAAAGCAGAAATGCAGAAGTTTGCTTTTGTTCATGGCTTTTCCTTTTTTCCTCCAAAATTGTTCTATCAGCTTGACACTTTCTAAAACTCTGTCAGGGGAAAAGAAATTATCTTTCTACGTTGTCTCATCCAGCTAGGACATGCTAACAGAAGAAATTTATGTTGGCTTGATTTTAATAGTTCATTGATACCTTTAAAAAAAAAATCCTAGTGCAGACAAAACTTTGAGCAGTCTGGTTAACTTTGAGAGCAAGTTCTAACACTGTGAAAATGTATGATTTTCATCTGGTTGCATTTGGCACTGTATTTCTGGCTGTGTGTCTAACATGGTTTTGCTGCTAGGGTCCTGTAAGCAATTGTCACTTGTTCCAGAAATGGCTGAATTGCAGGAATTGATTTCTAATGGCATGTCATTTGTAGATGAGTTCGTAAAGTGATTTGTAGCCAGCAGGATCCCAAAAGGCATATTCCAAGTACACTTTCTTGTTGAATGTAGCCACTAGAAACTAGCTGACTTAGGCAAAGCATTTGTAGTTTAATTCCCAGTCCGAGGGGGGGAAGCATGATTTCAGAACCGTCCTTTGCAGAAGGTGTCCAGGATTAATTTTAAAATCACATTATTTTGAGATGGGTCTGTAGCCAAAGTTCAAGCAATTTCACTAATCAAATTCCTCCCAAAATCCTAAGTAATGCACCAACCAACAAATAGCAAGAGTACACACAACACTGTGAAAGTGCTGTCTAGATGGACTTTGAAATCAGCACGTTCATTACTTTCTAATTGGAGGTTCTCATCATAATCATATGAAATAGCTAACAGATGGCCAGCACGAGCTGCTGAGTGATGCTGGGTGAAATCTAAAATGTGGACTTCATGTTTTTGAAGCTACAAGTTCCCAGGATGAACCTGCCACAGCAACAGCCTCTTGCTGTGCCCCACAGTGCAGGCACTTGAGGTGAGCTCTACTTGTGTGGATGAGAAGCAGTGGCCAGAAGGAGACGGTTTGAGAGGGATTCACCACTGCAGGGTTTGCCTCCTCCATCAGCTGAAATAGCACTGCAGAACTCGCCCTTTCTTCTGCACGTCGGGAAATGAGACAGCAGGGTGGAGAGGGGAGGGATGAATAGGAGTGTGAGACATTTGGACAACACAGAAGCGCTGAGCATTTGAGCTGCTGGATTTGCTAGTGGGGACCAGTTGATTATGAAAATTATATGGCTATGCTTAGAAAGCTTTCCTCTTCTGAGGCACTGAGTAGTATGCAGAAGAGTGAAGTAGGGAAGGGGAAAACCAACCCCAAATGTCTGCAGTAAGACAGAGCACAAAACCCCTGTAGCTTCCATAGTAGCAGGCAATCCCATACAAAACCAACCCAAACAAAAAACCCCTTGACTTCTTGTCTAGTAAACAGAGAATATCCATTAAAACCTGAGATGAAGACTTCTTATAAAAAGTGTTAATTGGAACATCCTTTTAATGGTGTTTTGCCACCACTATCCTTTCTAGGGCCATTGGTCACTCCCAGCCTTATTGACTCTCTTAGCAAGCTGCACTAGACTTTGAATGCTGTAAACTTTCCAAGTAACTTGGATCTTTTTTTTCTGGCTCCTCACACAACTAGGTGTTTCATTTACATATGCGTGGCCTGAAAGACATTTATTTCTGCTTCCTTTGAAGGTCAGTTCAGGTACATTTTGATGCCAATGTTCTGCCTATAGACTTACTAGGGATCCAGGAAAATACTCCTTAACTTTAAAAAGACTTCCTCTTTGGCTTTCTGGGATGCTAAAATGCTATGACTTTCATGATAGCTTGCAGAAATTCTAAGTAATGTATTTGTCTACCATGAGTGGTTGTATTGAGGAAGAAAAACCTGCCTGGAGACTCCTCAGTATTCTGCCTCAAAGGTCAGTGTGAGGTTTTTTTTTTGGAGTTCTTGTTTATCTCCCTTCTAACACTCCTACCATTTTACCTGCTTCAAGTATCCTCAGAAATAGTAACACTTAGCAGAGGCTGGAAAGATGTGTTTTGGGCTTAAAAAAAAAAAAAAAAGGAAATTGCCTGCCAGGCAATGACATGGTCCTTCTTCAGAATGTTTCCCGTATACCTCTCTCTTGCCAAGATCATTTAAATGTGGTAGCAGCTACAGTAGGAAACTTGCCATGCTTATAAATAAACAAAACAACTACATCACCCTACTGCGCTTGCTGAGCTTTCAGGAGCTTGGTCAAGAGTGAGTTTTGTGTCAACACTGGCAGCCAGCAGGATTTCTGAGGCAGAAAGCAGCTTTAGTTCCCTTTGGAAGCATTGACTAGTTTAGAACACTTTGTCTCTGGAATAAGGTTACCACTTCTCAGTGAAAACTTCTGTAGGAGCAATGACAGTAGATTTTTCTTTTTACTTGGAAACCGCTGTGAAAACATGATCTTCTGAAACTTTTTGCTGAGAAATTAGTTTGGGATATTTTTCTTGGGTTGTTGGGGTTTTTTTTCTCCCTAGCAGGATTGTTGACTTGTTTCAAGCATTGAAGATTCATTGCTATCTGAAATGTTTTCAGTCTTTTGTTTTGTTTTGTTTTCTACACTTTAGTTAAGTGTTTTCAGCCAGCCTGGCTATGTACTGAGGTCCTGGGGGAGCAGCTCTGGGCTGCTCCATCATTTTTAAGTCTCATAAGACCCCAAGGAAACTGTTACTGATTCACCTACACTTCAAAGTGACAGTCAGCCCTATATTTCTAGATATTTCCTGGGGTTAAAAATCTGCAAAAACACATTGTATCTGAGTTGCCAGTTTTATATTCATGCCACTTTGAACATAAATTTAGGGCCATTCATTGAATTTTTTACTTGGAGTATATCAAAAGTGTCATGCTGGCATCTCTAGGAATCGGCAAAGCTGAGACCAGGACTGTCACAGAAGGATACGAAGTCATTAATTCATGTTTTCATTACATCTCAGCTGGATTTTTGTCATTCCTTTCATAGGCCATAGAGTTTGTGTATGGGTAGCATCGCTATCGAGGAGCTTAAACATGTATTTGATCGCCTTGTCTTCACACAAGACAGCAGCACAGCACCATTTTCACTTGTTCTCCATCCTTAAGGGGCTGCCAACAGAAGTCTCGGGGTCAAGGCACTAACTAATAATAGTAAAAGGTTGTCTTCCCTAGGGAATACTGTCACGTCAATACGGGAGACAGAGAAGCTAAAACGTCCGCTGTGATGCAATCATTTGTAGGCAGAGGCTAAGCCTGACCATGACTGGTACAGTGAGAGGAAGGATTTCTATTTGTCTAGCCAAACCACACAACCATAATGCAATTATCATCACCGGAGATCACTTTTATTCTAATGCAAATTCAGCTATGCCTCGTAGCAGTGGTGGAAATCAGTTGATGTCAATACGGGGTTTCCAAGTGTCTTTCCTCCTGGGAAGCACTTTCTCTCAAAGAGTAGAAATGGTATGGAATGTAGCTGAAAGGCTGTTTGCCGCAAAGCTATGCGGAGCCTCAAAAGCGAAGTATTCCAACAGCAACAGGTCTTATATTTGAAAGACAAAACCAAAAAGGCTCACTGGAAGAAGGTGACTCACTTTGCTTTTGTGAGACCAGTGTAACTGATTTGCTACTGCAAGCCCAGCAGCATTTTATAGAAGGGTTTGCACTTGTTCTGCAGAGAACTCCTGACAAGGCAGTCCAAAACACTGCTTGCTGTGAGGAACTCGGTCCTGAGCTGAACTGAATGGAAAAGACTAAATATAAGTTTAAAGAAAGGATTTCGATTGCTTGGATTTGTCACTGTGAAATACATTCTAGTTGTCATGCTTATAAGCAGGAAAATTGATGAAAAATGATTCGAATTTACCTCTTATCTCAAGAGCTGCCATTCACAGATACTTGCCATGGAGATTAAAACACAACTTAGTTTCATATGTTGCTGAGCAACCCATCAAAATGTT